TTAATTGTAGAAGAAATCTCGTGTATTTATAAGTAGAAATCTATATCCCAGGCCACTGGGGAGCTCTCTTTGGGAACTCTGTTTAACTGGTGTTTTCAGGTCGGTCTTGTGCCTGGACAAACAAACACCACACTTCCATGAGAAGGACGAAGAGGGAGAGGAGAACCAATGTCCAGGCATCAAGTTGCCCCCTCCTACCTAGCCTAGCCCCGGAGGAATACTAGCCTCTTATGGGTGGACTTCCTTATGCTCAGACATAAACCAAGACTATCATCATTGCACAACACTCAATTGTTGATGCTTTGGACCTTGTGTTATTGGAGGAAATAATTACTATGGTCAAACTTTAATTCATGGAGTTTGAGCAAAGAAAGCTACTTTGAGAAGACTTCCAGCATCTCCTAGGGCAGGAATTTTAAACCCAAATGCAGGTGCTAAGAAAGCAGCAGAACAGATTGAGGCAAGGGAGGCTGGAGACCAGGGCGCTTCACAGAGCTCAGCCACGCTGCGAGGCATCTACCGTTCAGTACCAGCCGCTGTCTCTACACGCTTGCAGGTCCCACTTTCAGGCAAGTCCAGGATGCTACTATAAAATGGGCAAGAAACATCTACTTGCAAGACATGAGAAAGGCCAAGAAAGCACCCCAAATCCCACCTTCAACTTCTCGATTTGGCAGAAGAGAAAAAAATTAAGCCTGAAGATGTCAACTGACTTGTCAAGTGAACGAGCCCCATTCGTCTGTCAAATGCTCTTTTGAAAGCTCAGTTGAGAAGGGTGCAGCGCTGTGATTTACTGCAAAGCATCAGAAAAACGAGACAGCCGAATCACTGGCGTTCTCACTAAAACTGCCTGCCAGGCGTCAGTTCTGTCCCATTCGGTTTTGTTTTTTAATCTCAAATTCCACAGACGGATATAAATGGGCCTCTGCTAGCTGAGCCTCACTAGTATTCTAGTTACTTTGGTGGAGTATGTATTTGGGCCAACGGTGTGCTCCTTTGATGTCTGTATTTACCTGCATGCCCTGCTTCAGTTGTTTTTTATGTACTCTTTGTTTTAATCTTCTCAAACCGAACCACAGGACAGGTTAGGAGGCCTCAGGCCAAGCCCATGGCTAAACGGCCATGCAGGGCGAGAGCTGTGCCCCCCGTGTGGATGCTGCAGTCATCAGCTGCTAGGAATCTTGAAAATGCAGTGGTCAGGACTCACATCTGTCCCCCATGGTTGTGTTCCTCGGGGTCTTATTCCTGTTTGAACGTGGGCTTGCAAGGTTTTTCTGATTTAGAACAGGAAGCTCCTATCAAGTCAAATTCCAGCTCAAGCCCTAGCTGGATCTTAGCCCTCATCAAGATGTAGGATGGCTCGTCCCACCAGCATTGGCTGTGTTTAAAACTTAAACTGTCCCTACTGGTGCAACCACTGTGGAAATCAGTACTGAGATACCGCAAAGAACTCGGATTGGAGGTACCATTTGACCCAGCTATTCTCCTACTGGGTATCTTCCCAAAAGAATTAGAAGAATCATACCACAGTGATGAATGCACACCCATGTTTATAGCGGCACAGTTTGTAATAGCTAGAACTTGGAAACAGCCCAATTGCCCATCAGTTGGAGACTGGATAAAGAAGATGCAGTTTTTCTATAAAATGGAATACTACTTAGCCATAAAGAATGAAAAACTAGAGTCATTCGTAGGAAAATGGATACATATTGAGGCCATACTCTTTTTGTTGTTGTTGGTGGTGGTGGTTTTTGGTTTTTGTTTTTTGAGACAGGGTCTCACTACGTAGTTGAGACTGACCTGGAACTCACAATGTAGCCCAGGCTGGTTTGAAACTCAAAGCAATCCTCCTGCTTCAGCCTACCGAGTGCTGGGATTATAGGCATGTGCCACCACGCCCGGCAAGGCTATACTCTTAAGTGAAATAAATAAAACACATGTGTAAATACCTAATAGTTTCTCTGGTATGAAGAACTAAAAGTATAAATAAGATCCAAATTGTATAAGTGATAATGTGAAATAGGAAGAAAGGGGCTAAAGGTATAGGGGAAGGGCAGGGGAAAGGAAATAAGGGAAAAGAAAAAATATGAGAAAAGGAAAAATGGAAACAAAGTCTTTGTAAATGGGGGAGGGGTGACAGGAGGGCAGGGGTATGGGGAAAAAATTAGAACCAAGATATGTCATGTAAAGGTACAAGATCCCAATGATGAATGTAACCATTCTGTATACCTTAAAAGTACCAATAAACTCAATAAGATTAAAAAGAAAACAAAAACTTGAATGTCCCTGAGAGGGTGTCACCATTCCACTTTCCACCACTGCCTGACTTCTGTGTTCACCCTTGCTTACCTTTCTGGCTCATGAAGGTATTTGATTTTGTGCCCTCTGCTCTAGACTTTAGCAAATCTCATCTTTAGCACAATTTATTATGAAAAGGAAACAACTCAAAATCTTACATCAGTGTCTCATCAAGACTGTTTTCGCAGCTGGGTGTGGTGGCACCCACCTGTAATCCCAACACTCTGGGAGGCTGAGGTGGGAGGATTCCAAATTCCAGCCTGGCCTGGCCAATTTAGGGACTTAGCGAGGTCCTGTCTCAAAATTAAAAATAAAAGCATGCTAGGGATGTAGCTCACTGAGAAGGCTCTAGGTTCAATCTCTGGTTCTAGGCAGGGTGGGAAAGCTATTTTTGCTATACAGACTGCTTCCCATAGGCTGGTGAATTGCTGCCTGACAGAAATGACCACATCACCTGTATGGCTACAGTAACGATCCAGTGCATCTGCTCCCAAAGCACCATGCACTTGGCTGTGAAGCTAATTTTTCGTCATTGTTTCCCATTGCCTGCAGGGTGAAGTTTGAATTCACCTCATGAACAACCAGAGCTCTTCGTGATTCAGCCTCCATCTGATGGTTCAAACCTGCTCCTCTATTCCCTAGCTCCACTCTTGCACACACCTTGTCCAGGCCCTTTATCTGTTCAGGAGCCCAGCTTCCCTTCTATTCTGAGTTTTCGAGGTGCTTCAGTGAAACTCAACTCAGACCCTGCCTTTTCCAGAAGACTTTCTTAAATTATTTTGATTTCCAATGATCTTGCCTCCTTTTAAATGTAAATGAATATGTAAATGAATGTTCAATGAATATTTGTGGACTTGATTAATTGTACCGTGAAAGTCCTATTATTTAATGGTGGCTGCATTTTAAAATATAGCTTCATTATAAAAACGTAACTTGGGCATGGATTAAACGAGAGGTTGTATATGAAATTATCCGGCACAGATGCTTCATAGACAAAAAATATTAGCTGGCACAGAGGCTCAAGAACTAACCTTATTCATCGCCGTCCTGCCTCTCTTAACTTTCAATACCTTTTCAGTTATGTGCACTGTCTTTTTCTAGCTATAATATTGGTACAAGAACTCATTCTTTAAAAATTGGAACTTTACCAACAGACGCATATTTATAAACTGAATGAATATTAGGCAAGCTTATCTTTTAAAAAAATAAGCCCAAAGACTGGCCACTGACACTGGACTTTCTTTCCTCAGAGGCTTCTTGTTCTAAATTAAGGATCTCCCACCCCATTAAAATCCAACCCCACATGAGAGCCAGTGACACGCTACATTTCCTTCCTTATTAACATCCGAGCTGATGAGGCTTTTCTGTTTAGGTGAAGCAGAAACTGCCATGCAGCTTTTGGCTAATATATAAGGTATGATGATGGACTTGTTCAAACACTTTATAAAACTTGGCTGATTTAATGTCTTTCCAAAATGATTGCCCATACAATGGCAGTGTAGGGATAGGGGAGAAAAGAGAAATACAGCCAGTGCCCGAGAGGAAGGACAGGAGGAAAGCTGGGTCAGTGCCCCAGGAGGGGAATTCGGCACTGGCGTGACTATCCGTCACCGCTCACCCAGTACTAAGGGCTTCCTAGGATTCAGAGCATTCGGTCCTAAAATAGAAATAAACAAAAAGAAAAGCCCCAGCCACCCAGGATAAGCTGGTCTCCCTCATAGGCACCAGGAAAGTCACACAGAAAGGCATACTGTGTCTAATTTCCAAAGGGCCCTGAGTCCATTTGGCAGACAGAGCAGTGCAAACCTGTCCCTGCGCACTTATCAAAGTGCTAATGAAGCTGAGGCTGACGGTTTGATTTCTCAGGAATCTTCGCTCTCTTCCACAGTCAGAATCTGACTTCCCTCCAACCAGCCGTTCTCCAGTGTCAGCACCTGATCACAAAGTCTACAAGGAGAGAGACCGAAGCTACTTCAGAACAAATCCTTCGCAGCTGACGGAAACACTGGTACGAGGACACTGGTGTTTTCCTGTGTGTGAACATTATTAAGTGGTAGAAGACGAATGCATTAAAAATTCATCTTTGGTTTTTAGTACGATGATGCCGATAATTTTCATTCTAACCCTGTGGTCCTTGCAAGACTGGGACCATCTGCGGCTGCCCAGTCAGCCAACAGAGGTGGTCTCGAACTCCTCTCCAAGTGTTTGCCTGGAACGCAGGCTACAGCCTCTGATAGTCCTGCAAAGTGAGTAGCCCGAAGGTTAGCACTGCCTTGACTCGTTTGTATCACGGGCCTAAGAACTCTAGAACCTTCAGGGCCGGGGACGAGGAGAGGCAACAACACACGCAGTCGGCTGGATGGCTTCTGTGTGGGTGGAGGCATAAAGCACGTCTGCATTCCTCACCCTGCTGGTCAGGCTCTGGAGACTAGAAAAAGCATCCTGCTTTTAAAGCCTGGTTGCTGACAGCCTCTGCTTCTCATTGTTTTGTATTCAAGTGTTTGCTTTTCTGAGACCTTTTTTTTTTTCCCTAAGTCCACAGATTTAGCAGTGTGCGTATTAGCAGACTGAAAGCTGAATTCCCCAAGCACTTTTGCTTCTTTTTCTAGAGTAAATGTCAGTAGGATGAAAACCACCCTGTCACACTGTTACTCATTAACTGAACTTTGAAAAAAAAAAAGTCTCACCTGGATTTGGAGTCAGCTGAGGAGCTTCCTGCAATGCAGCAACTGTGGGGAGCTGGAACAGATTTTCACTCTACTTGGGAGCTTCGCAAGTGAGCCTTTGAGCTAAGTTCTTGACTTGGAGGCGGACAAGTGAACAATGGTAAAGAAAAGGCTGTCTTCCAACGACTCGGTGTTCCAGTTCGACATCCCGGGCAGCCCGCAGAAGGCCGGCGCAGAGGCCCCGCTCAGCTCCACCGACAGCCCTAGCCCCGTGTTCCTCAGGTGGGTACAGCGGGGCCCTGCCTCCCATCTGTCTGACCTCAGGGGACTTTGACCTCGCAACAGGTGGCCCTGCAGGTCTCCTTCCTAGTTCTGAGACAGCAGCCTCCCAAGGGGAAAAGGGAGACCCAGCCCAGGACCCCTGGCCAGCGGACTGGGACTGCGGGGAGCAGAAAGAAGGGAGGGATAGGATCTGAGCAAACAGAGTTACTGTGCGGGTGAGGAAATCATCTTAGTGCCTTGTTTTGTACTTTTTTTGGTACTAAATGAGTGGCCACTGGGTAGTTCCTCAGTTATTAACTTGCTCTCACATTCACAGAAGTAAAAACAGATATTTAAACAAAAACCAACTTTGCTGTCAGAATTACAAATGTCATAAGTAAGTAGTAATTAGCAAAATATTACAAGAATATTTTTGCCTTTCATTTTGTCTTTCTAAATTTTAAATAACTACAAAACATTAATATTAATTATTAATTGAATTATTGAATTGTTAATTAAATGTTACATTAAATTAATATTCATGTTAAATTAAATATTAAAATAGTATTAACTGTGTTCTAGTTCAACTACTTACTATACAGTGATTTACAGCAGATTTGACCAGATTCTAAGCATATCTTTCTCAGCTGTGAATACTGATGTCTAGGTCCACACCACTCTGAAACTGTGTAATTACACATTTAATGAAAATTCAACTGTCAACTCTTTATTCACTTTGTTTCAATAATTCTCTAGCAATTTATAAAATGTAGAAATTGAATATATTCTTCTTTGAGCCTTTATGTAACTTTCATGTGAACACCAGTGAAAGCAAAGAAATATCCTCCACAACCAAGTTTTACTTTTAGGTAACACCATATCTACAAAACTAAATATTTATTTATTGTTTTATTTTTTATTCATTTAAAGTAATTTATGCAGACCGGGGATTTAGTTCAGTGGATCCATAGACTGCCTCACAAGCGCAAGGACCCAAGTTCAATCCCTGGTACCAAAAAATAATAAATAATAAAAAATAAAGCAATTTACACAAAAATATGTTTAATTATAGCTTCTAAAGATTATATTAAAAACAAAAGAAGTCTCATTTTTTTCAGCTTTAATTGATTTTATTGGTACATTTTAGGTATACAGTACAGTTACATTCATTGTTGGGATCTTGTACCTCTACATGACAGGTCTTGGTTCTCGTTTTGTCCCCTTGTCCCTGCCCTCCCTTCACCCCCTCCTCCCCTCCCCATCTACAAACACTTTATTTCCATCTTTTCATTATCTCACATTTTTTTCTTTTCCCTTATTACCTTTCCCCTACCCGTCCCACCTTCCCTACACCTTTAAGAAATCTCATTTTTATTGAATGTCTTTCTCATATCAGCTTATGAAAACAAATTAAATCATTTTTAAAAGTTTTAGAGACCAAGAAGGTATGGAAATTGTTATTTAATCTATTTCTTATTTCCATCTTTTCATTATCTCACATTTTTTTCTTTTCCCTTATTACCTTTCCCCTACCCGTCCCACCTTCCCTACACCTTTAAGAAATCTCATTTTTATTGAATGTCTTTCTCATATCAGCTTATGAAAACAAATTAAATCATTTTTAAAAGTTTTAGAGACCAAGAAGGTATGGAAATTGTTATTTAATCTATTTCTTTTCAGGTTATCTTAATTTTTCTATACAGCAGCAAAAGGAATCAATCTTACTTGCTGTAGTGGTCATTTCAGCAAGAGTATAATTCTAATGGCTAAAAACAGAAAAACTCCTGCATTGTTTCCATATTTTGCGGAGTTTTAAGAGTCTCTCCGGTGCTTTGTACATTTAAGCTGTAGCGTTAGTGCACAGTCGGGCAAAGTACTCTTTGAAGCACAAGCTGTAACAAAAATGCAGATAAAACTCATTAAGTATAACCTAAATAAATATTTTTTCATACCTATTGATAAACAAACAGAATTTTTTTTTAAACTGCACCAATCTAAATAAAAACCTCTTTCAAAAAGGGCCCCGGCCCCCGTTACCTGCATGTCAGGTACTCAACATCAAAGCTCTATCTTAACATTTATAAATGCTATTTCAAAATGTGCCCTGGAACCAACCTAAAAATACTTAGCATATTTCCAACTAGTTTAGACATTGGAGGACTTTTAACCTAGCTGGAAAATCTGTTTAATACTTTGTGTATAAAATCACTGAAAATGATTTACAGAAGGATTCAGTAGTTAAATTTTTGAAGTCAAAAATAAGAACAAGTAATTACTTTCCTTTAATGTCTAAGTAAATAGTAAGAATTTATGTGGCTATTTTGGAATCTCATTATTCTTTCATGAAGTAAACCACAGACCAACAAAACCGCATTAGAGAGGCACAGATAGAACTTACACAGTGTTTTTGTTCAATCGGTTCAACAAAGATTTATGCAGTATGTGACGTGCCAGGCTTATATGGAGAGTACCAGGGATAGAATCAAGAAGGAGTGAGATAAACCTAGTTTGTGCCCTCCTGGAAGTTACTGGTTGAATGTCAGAGAAAGGTAAAGAAATATGAACAGATGCATAAACACATACACAAATAGATGACTCAAAAATTAACTGATGTTACCAGAGACAAATCGAAACTGAGGCAGAGAACAAGACGGGGTTACTTTAAATCCAGTGATGAATAAAGGGCTCTTTGAGGAAGTAATATTTAGGCTCAGAGAATGAAAAGTGCCCGGGAGACACTAGGAAGGAACATGTTGTCCTAAGGCGGGGAGAACCTGGGAGAGCAGGGAGCGGAGGAGGCGATAGTGTTGATCATTCTGTTGTAGTTGCACCAGGAACCCCCTGAGGGTCAGAAAAGGGCATCACCATCGTGCCGTGTTCACTGCGGAGGGGCACTCAGGCCTCCCTGTGAGTTATGTACAGGTGTTTTGTTTTGCTTTGCTTTTTTCTCTTTCTAGCAAACTGTATCTTGCCCATGTCTCCCAGCAGACTTACACTCTAAAGTAGAGTGTGGCGGTGAACCCAAGGCATGCCCGTTACTGTGTTTTTCTTTTAAGATGAAAGACATTAATGTAGAGTTGTTTTTCCTAAATGAAAACCTGAGTATCGAGTTGAACAGCAGGGTTGGCGGGTGTGATCAGTAAGTGGTTTGGGGTTGCAGTTTGGCACTCGATCCCTAGAAGGTTCACCATCGCTGTTCTCAAGTACGTACCTGGGAGAGGGATTTGCTCATTGTACGTCATGGACACTGCTCACTCTCGCCATTAATGTCAAGTTGTGCTCTAGAGCTCAGAGTCATTTAAACCAACATCAGCAGTTGCTGTGCTGCCCCAACAGCGTGACAGCAGATTGCCTCCTCCCTTTTCCGTACTCTAGAAGGTGTGGAACTGCTCGCTGGGGCGTTAGTTGCATGTCTCTTATTGACACCATGATAAAGGCCTCATTGCCGCTTATGTAATACTCATGTTTGTTTCCAATTCTCTTTGGAAAGTAGGTGTTACTATTTTTTTAACACCTATTTCACTAGCTAACACCATAGCCTTGCTGGGCTTGACGTTGGGCACCAGTAAGCACAGCCCTGGGAAGTCTGAAGCAAGAGGATCAAAGTGAGTTTGAGGCCAACCTGAACTACATAGTGAGGCCCTGTCTCAAAAAACCAAAACCCAAACCAAACCACTCAACTTTTGTTCCCTGGAGCTATAGAGAGAAGAGTGATACAGTAAGCGCCTGACTCATGAACAGATTCCATTCCAGGAGAACATTTGTAAATCAGATCGGTTGGTTAAATCCGACAAAGTGAGTCTTATATACCTTTAACACAAATATGCAATGTAAAGTGTGGGGTCTCCTTCCAGGGCTTGTTCACATCTACAGGTGTTAGCAATTCGAGGTCTGCTTGTACCTCTGAAAGTTTGCAACTCAGATACTCATAAACTGGGGACTTACTGGGTTCAGAAGCTGGAGGGAGGTTGAGTCCCAGGAAATGAGAAGGCTTCAGCTTCCCTCTTCAGGAAAAGGAATGGATCGACAGCACCCAAAGAAACCAGGACCGTGTCCCAGGGATCATGAGTGTTGGGGTGGGTATTGCTGTGAATGCGTAAGATCAGGGTAGCAGGACTGTGAGTGCCACAAAGCCTCAGAGACAAAAGTGAGGGTCAGAGGAACTCAAGAAGCAGAGAAAACCAAGTATACTAGGACTTGGGGAAATAGGGCTGCGGGGCTGTGTGTGATGGAAGAGGTTTACTAGCAGAGAACTCAACCTCTCTACTGTGAAAGTCAGAAGTTTCTGAGCAGGAGAGAATAAAACTTCTCAGCAACCGTCATGCTAGGAGAGAAAGGACCAAAGTTTCTTTTTCTTTTTCTTTTTCTTTTTCTTTCCCAAAGTTCACAAGATCCTTCCCCACCGTTCTTTTATGCAAAGTATGTCATTGTTTTCCAATATCCGTGTTCTGTGCTGCTGCCAGGCTTCTGAACATGCTGGAAGCCCCCTGTCCCTTTGATGGCCTCAAAATCTCCAATTTACCTTTCAAAATGTACTTCCTGAAGGGTATAACACAGCCTCAGGGGTGTTTCCCTAGGTGGGGCCCCTGTCTTTTCTCATTGCTGAGGCAAAATACCTGATACCCACAAGTTAAGGGAGGAAAGGTTTATTTAGCTCACAGTTTGTAGAGGTTTCAGAGAGCTCAAAGACAGGGTAGCATGGTGGGGGAGAAGCCGTCCACACCATAGCAGGCAGGCACCACAGAGGAGTAAGAGTTCACGGCAGGCAGAAAGTAGCCAAGCAAACAAGGGACCCAACAAGCCTCTTTCTGTCCCTTGTATTGTATCCACATTATTGGGATTAGAGTGGTACCAAACCAGTCAGTACACTGATTTAGTAATCACCCATCCTTAATCCTAGCACCCTTAATCCTAGCATTGCATGGTGAATCAATCACACACCCTAGATTCAGCTACCTGACTGCATGAGGCTTTGGGGTGACATCTAGATACAAGCTATAACAGCCCCCACTGCCACCTTC